GGGGGGGGGCATAAACGTGTTCTTATGCACAGTAGAATTGTAATTGTAAATGGGCTGATTCATCAATGTCATGCTCATAACTGTGCCTGAACTACCACATGGAACTGCTGCTTTTTCTTTCCTTATCCTTACTACCGTCATTTTTCCTCTGCTTCTTTTGTATTTTGGTCACATTTTTGTGACACGCTATTTCCTGGGTGCGTTGATAGTCGAAGCAGACTTTGTGCTGTTGAAGCTAGAGAGGTGAGCAGAGTAAGTCTGATTCCCTGTAAGGACTTTTCTGTTGACATCCACCCCTTGGCGCTCATATGACCTTATGCGTTTGCGAGCGCCGTAAAACCTTAGTAAAACAAAACATCCTCATCAATAGAATTCAGCTGGTTGAGGAGGTGGACTGCCTGATGGAGCTATCCGGAACAGAGAGGGTACAACACCCCAGCAGAAAGGCCGAGAACTCGATAAAACTTCGGCCAACATGAGAATCGAACTCAGGTCCTCTGCCCGTGACTGTGTCAAAGTTGAATTGTCTTACAAGTGTGGCGTTCTTAACCAGTGCATTTGTAGCAAAATATCAAAGGAAGCAATACTTCTATCATTTTAATGTTGGCTGTTTTTGCTTGCCTGGAAAGAGTGGCCTGGATCTTCTGCCAGGGCCTCACGGGGACAACCGGCAACGAGAGAACAGACTGAAGAAGCAAAAGTGGGAGGGAATTTGACACTGGACCCACCAACCATCCTAACCGCTGTAAGGGAAAATTTGAGGAAGAATAGGGCGGATAGCGGTTCCCACACACTAGATAGATTGAAGGCGAAGGGGATCCAAAGAGGAGAAAGGAAACACAGCCACCTGTGCGGACCAGTCCCATGGATCTCCAACCAGATTATGATGTAGACTGTAAGCAGACAGACTCTAGGATGGATCCTGAAGAGGGGGGGGGGGGGGAGAGCAGAGATGGACACGTTCCGATTGTAGTGACCCCATCACTGTGGACAAGGACAAGCTGTGACAAGGTGTGTGAGCTTGCCTTTACCAAGCCGAAGTTTACAGCAAAAACGTTCGATTTGCACAGTCTGACTTGTATAATAAAACCATTTTGTTTCTCAACCCGGAATTTCCCACGTTCGAGTAGCGAGCACATCTCCCCCCCCCCACCCCCTAGTTGACAGCGCCCTCTATATGTCGAATCTAGAACTGCTGTTTCTGTACAGCCCTCTATATGTCGAATCTAGAACTTCTGTCTCTGTACAGCCCTCTATATGTCGAATCTAGAACTTCTGTCTCTGTACTTCCCTCTATCTGTCGACTCTACTGTCTCTGTACTCCCCTTTATCTGTCGACTCTAGAACTTTTGTCTCTGAAAGTCTACATTGTCTAAGACAGTCACTAATTGTCGAGGAGAAAAACAGTGTCTTAGACAGGTGACCATCTAGAACAGTGTCATTATAAGATAAACACAAATGTGTGTGTGGGGGGGTGTGTGCGCGCGCGTGCACGCACGTTTGACCCTGTACTGACAACCGGTGGAAAAGAAAGGATTAAGAGGCAGGATTGACTTGGTCGGTGTCATTTATATAATATTTTTTGGGGGGGGATGATGAGGGTGGGAAGTGGCCGTTTGTTCTGGCGATTGTCTTAAACAGGTGGCCGTTTGAGCAGGTTCGACTGTATTAGAATGCGTTCCGAATGTCAGACCAACTTTTTCTGATGTGAACTATCCTTGTCTTTATTCTCCTCCGCTACATTTTTGTCTCCCAGGCTTTACCCTGCACCATGTTACAGATTCCCCACAAGGCAACAAACGATGCGTTAACGTTTCCATGAAAAAAATCATCCTAATTTCTTCGTCTTTATGATCGACTCCCCCCCCTCCTTTCCCTCCAATTTTAGTTTTTAGTTTAATTGTTGGCGTTTCTGTTTCCTGAACTCCCAAGATCATGAATTTTTTTTCAGTGTCATTACCATCCGTCCTCTTTAGATAACAAAAATTTAAAAAAAATAATTAAAAACCCCCCAAAAACAAACAAAACAAAAGCAGAAATGGAAGAAAAGCAAAGCTGTGTTTGTACTGTGAAGTTGTCGTAGTTATAGTGAGCGCCCATACAAAACTCCAATCACAAATGGTCGCTTTTAAGGACAAGCGAGCTAACCCATATTGCGGGGGTTTCCGGAAATCTTGACCTGCACCAAAGTGGGCATTGCCCTACCTTAGGAGAAGTTTGGTTTCATTGGTGTGTATATTTGTTTGGTTAGAGAGAAAACTTTCCTTGTCTTTTAAAGAAACTGAACAAGGGTCCAAAAACTTCGCCTTCGATTTTCTGAAAAACAGCATATTTTTCTTTCGGGATAGCCCCCTTGTGCTTAAAAGCGACCAAATGAAGGAGGATGTAACAAACATGGCTACATTTGACGTGCTGAATCCATGGCCGCCTAACTAGTTTAGTTTAGTAGAGGGTTTTACAGCGCTCGCAACTGCATAAGGTCATATGAGCGCCACGCCTAACTAGAGGAGCTTTTACTTTAGGCAGCAATCACGGCTCGAGTCAGTCAGAGAAGCCGTGGCATGAACAGAGGTGCGGGTGTCTTTTCTGTGCAGCATCTTTCGATCATACCTCTCCTTTTCTTTATTGTGTGTTACTTTCTGGTGGAGCCTCTAATCTTCCGCACTTATATATGACCTTTATGTATTGCAAGTGCCGTAAAGTTCATATTAAAAGATTTAAAAAAATATGTCCACCACTCAAATGACTATAAATCCACGGTCACTGTTGTTCTTTCAGTAATGAGAAGATGGAGAAAAGTCTCCACATTTCCCCAAAGTTGTCCGCATTTCTCGGGTGTAGAAGAGAGATACGCATCTAGTACTCACGGGGGAGAAAACAAACGAAGTTGACTAACTCTATCCGTACTTCCTGGGGGTCATTTTGTACCCCCGAGGTTGTATTCTTCACATTTTAGAATACTTTTGGTACGAAGATCTCTTTGAAACTTTTAGTATTTCTCAAAAAATCATGGTGACAGACTGCTCTGAAAAGCTTACGGATCGGATTAATGAGTAAATTTCCTCTTTTGAAAGTGGTGGCTCAGAGTTCCACACGTCGTATGGATACGATAGTAAAACACGACGTACGGATAGGGTTAATGTCTGAGATGTGGATGTGATATGGTGAAACCACGTTCTGTTGGAGCGCTGGTCAAGTAAACTGACTACGTAGTTAGTATTCCTTCCTTTCCCAAGAATTCCAAACATGGCCGATGTCGCCACGGTACTCGAAAAAAATGTTCACGCGCCTTCTGTCTTCGTCCTTATTCTATGCATGCAGGGGAATCAAACGCGTCATAATAATAATGATGTAGTCATCTTGAAAAGCGAGTTCATGCGCCTTCTGTCGTTGTCCTGATTCTGAGCATGCAGTGGAGTCGAGCGCGTCATGAGGTGATCTTGCCGGTTTTGATGATGGGGTGCCAGTGGTCCGTGGAGCGGTGTGGATGTTCCATGATCTCGTACCAGTGCTCCAGCTGCTCCCCGTGGCTGTACCAGCCCAGGTCCACCTGAGGAACCACACAGAAACATGGTCAGACGGGAAGAAAAAGAGAAACAAATAAATACATAAATACATAAATACATAAATAAATGAATGAATGAAAATAAATAAATAAAGAAATAAA